CCCGCCAGCCCTTTTCCACCCACTTTCCATCCGCCACTCCTTTTCCACCCACCATNGACCCTTGCCGACGCCGTCCTCCACGGTTGGACCACCAGCAGAGGGGCCCGACTCCCGACACCCGTCCGATATATACTGTCCGACAGTTTTTCTATTTACCCGCCAGCCCTTTTCCACCCACTTTCCATCCGCCACTCCTTTTCCACCCACCATCCACTTACCACCCGCCACTCATTTTCTATCTGGCGGCCATTTTCCACCCACCACCCACTTCCTGTGACCCTCGGACCCCCAACTTTGAGGCCCTGCACCCCAGGGAGCCCCCCAGCGCGCCGACGACCTCTTCAAAGGCATGCCGCCGAGGGGGCAGGGGGGAACGTGCACGTGCACTTCCCGGAAAAAGGGGGGAGGGGGCGTGGGAAATTCGCCAATAATGCCCTCTTACTACTGACCAAGTCTCGTAATATAATCGTACAGGAGTAATTCGCGGTATTTCATTGCAAAGTTTCGATAAAACCTCGTTTTATAATGGCAAAACAATGAGGCAAACATCGGACAGAATGTTTATATAAAAAGCATCGTAAAAACTCCGAACATAAGTCGCACAAGAATAAGACAGTCACCCGCCATGGTGTTTCAACTCTAAGTATCGATCGAGTCCCGTTGTATTTCATCAACTCTTTACGAAAAATATCGAATGAGGCCACACTTGAAAATTTTTAGTAATTTCGGAAAATCAGGGTCATTTGAATTTTAAAAATAACGAAAGAGTAAAATATTTGTACGGGACTTTTTTTGGTAGGAGATTCATTTATTTCAGTGCATTTTATTTTATTTTTCAGAAAAATGTAATATTTTCACGAAAGTTCCTCCTTGTCTTGTTTTTCGTAGCGGTCATTGGCTAGTTTGGCGGATATCCACTTTATCATTAACTTTCCCTCATGCCATGTCCTTTGCTTCTCCTCGGTCATGTTTGGATGTTCGGCTGCTTTTCGGAGGATCTCTGGAAACCAAATAATCTCATGAAGAATTTCAATAGAGGATTCTCGGCACCGGATTTTAGCCAATCACAGCGCAGTATTCGCGGTCACGATCCTCTTGTGTTATAAAATGTAGCCGGAAATTGCACCGGATAATTGCATAGTAGCTCCTCACTTGTTTCTAACTAACTACATTTCTTTCCGGAAGTAACCATTGTTCCAAAAATTATGTAATCAGTACTCGAATACTGCGCTCCGTTTGGCCAAAATCCAGTCTTGGCAAATCCTCCACCGAATATACCTCGACCTTCAAAATTAATCCTAATATTTACCTCACGCTTTCCTGCAAATAATCGAACTTTGACTTGTTTACAACGAAGCTANGTTTCAATCGGATTCTGGACAGTCAGAGCGCAGTATTTGGACGCGAACAATCATCTCAACTTAACACTTTCACAAGTCTGAATTGAAGATCTTCATCATCAACTTCAATTTTGTTTCCTTTGTATCCTTGTCTTTCCCTGCGTTTTCAGGCATTTCACGACATTCAGCTTAATTTCTAAGCATAAGGAAAACACTTACGTGATATGAATTGGATTTCATCATTGCTGATGATCCTCTGCACAGGAGGAGGGTTTTTCTTCTGCACCTTGAAGAACAGTGTCATCCTTACGCTCTTGTCCCACAGATTTGACACAATCTTAAAGCACATGGCTTTAAAGTTGGGCTCTTCGATCAGGTCCTTTATGTAGTGATCTGCCAACATATACTCTCTCTTCTCTTTTGAAACCTACAACAGATTAAATATCTACAACGGTCCGCATCGTTTATAGAGGCCGTCGGAGTGATCATTTTGGAAAAAGTAAAAGTAAAGTCGGCTCACCAGTTTTGGAGATATTAGCAAGAAGCAATTTAAAACATAGAACGATTAAAATAACTAAATGGCTTTCATTTCGGAACTATTGGACCAATCGAGCGGATCATGCCGCCGGGGTTAGTACTATTTAGGACCCATGATTGGACCAAATTTAATTTTTTTTTTGTAATTTTCATATTTATATTATTACTCAATTTCATAAAACTCCATTAGCGAAAAGAAGGGAAGGAAGGGGTGGGGATTACAGACATTATCGCCAAACTTAACGTATTTCTATGGTTCATATCAAATTGACCGAGTGTAAACACGTACGAAAAAATCGTATAGAAACTTTCTATACCAATTGGGTATAGAATTTCTAGACGCGTTTCGTACATGATATTCGGATATTTTCTACACGAAAATTTCCTATACGCATCATCTCTATACTAATTCGTATAGGAATAACCCANATATTATTACTCAATTTCATAAAACTCCATTAGCGAAAAGAAGGGAAGGAAGGGGTGGGGATTACAGACATTATCGCCAAACTTAACGTATTTCTATGGTTCATATCAAATTGACCGAGTGTAAACACGTACGAAAAAATCGTATAGAAACTTTCTATACCAATTGGGTATAGAATTTCTAGACGCGTTTCGTACATGATATTCGGATATTTTCTATACGAAAATTTCCTATACGCATCATCTCTATACAAATTCGTATAGGAATAACCCGTATAAGACAATTTCGTATAGAAAATATCCGAATATCATATTCGAAAAGCGTATAGCAATTTTACACGCCAGTCGTATAGAAACTTTCTATACGATTTTGTCATACGTGAAGTTGCCATTCGGAAGCAAACAACCAACAAAACGTCGACCTTCGGCCAAATAAAGGCATACAAAATAATGGCGCGAGCCTTCTGAACTGTACTGTATTCGATTCTTCAGGAATGTTGGGGTTGGTAAAGCTTTTTAGAATACCCGGAAACCTAATTTTATGATTCATTCGACTGACTGTTGAAACGTAATAACAAGTAGGTAACGGAGCCTTTTCAGCATTAGATATTTGACCGCTACTTCGACTACTAGTTACCTCATTTTCTTTCATTTCTATCAGTGACATTGGTAGCAAGCTTCCAAATTAATCGTTAGCGATTACATTTAAAAGCAAAGATTTCCAGTAAAAGTTTAACATCTCCGGAACTATCGATGCGATTGAACCCTTCGTTAATACCAACTTTTTTTAATCATGAGAGGAACATTCTATTCAAATTTCAAGTTGACGGCTAGATTTTTGTGAGAGCTAAATTGCGTACAAATATTTCAAGGACTGAACAGAATGATTAATATGCGAAGAACTTTATATGCATGGGGTACATGTCCGATTGATCTAGGTACAGGTCATCGAAACAATTATATATATATATATATATATATCTTGATGCATATATATTTAGTGATCTAGGTAGACGACATTCAGACAAACATTTTGAGGAAATGAAAGGACCATAATTCGAAACGGTTCCATAATTCGAGAATTATTGCGTATAATAGCTCTTCAGGAAAACAAAAAATATCTCCGTAATTACCGCTGAGATTGAATTATACACGAGGTTATCAGAATTAACAAGCTTATATGAAATTGTACCTTGTCTCCGTGGCTAGCCAAGGCTTCTTGAACGGTCCTCTTGACGTCCTCAAGCAATTGTCCTCCAACAGATTCCTCCCTTTTTTCTTTTCGGGCAACCTTTTTCTTTTCGCTTGTTGGAGCCGTTGCAGTACTTGAGGAGCTCTACAATGCAACATTACTTCATGTATCCATTTTTGTTCATCATATTTTATTACTACCGATTGCACTGGTAGTCTTCCGAATGTATCCACTTTTGCGTTTTTTCCAGATATTGTTTTACATTCCCTAGCCTTCGCAAAAATGGGGTCTAGTTTTCATCGATGAAACCTAATCTATTAACATAAATCATCGAACATCGTCGGAACTGCTAGGCCGATTGACCCCAGATGCAATACGCATCATCCGTATTAGAAGACGGAAATCTTGTCACGATTTCAAAATGATATCCCTTTTATTGCGGAGGCTACAGAGCGTACAACGATTTTTTGAAGAACATAGAAAAGCGGAAATATCTCAGAAACTTTGTACTGACGGTTATATAGACTTTGATTGATGTACATACGGGCAGAGGTATTCCTAGTTCGGACCTATAATGTCCTGAACTATAATGATAATTTCAGACTTATTGGATTGATTTTTGTCCTTTTATTGTTCAATTTTCAAGAATGCAATTTCCAAAAGGCGGTGAAGGGGTGGAGACATGCAGATATTGTCGCGAAACTGACTATTTTTACATTTAAGACTATTGTACATCCGTTCTATTAAAAATTTGAAAATGTCAAAGTTGAACGATTACAAAACTTCTATTCGGAAACGAAAAGAATGAAAATTTCATGGACATTTCAGTGGTAATTATTAGAATAGGAGGTACCTGTTGTTGAGA